GATCTTTAGCCACACCCACTATATAGCCCGACATCTATCCTTCAGTTTTCTACCTTTTTCAACACATGCAGCTACATCTTGCTAGTGCTATTTTCCATTCTGCACAGAGCATCCAAAATGAGGTTGATCTGTTTTTGGACTCGCAACCACCAAGTTTCTGGGCTGAAGACTTCGAAAAAACTACCAAAATGTTAAAAGAAAGTCATAGATTTGGGTGGTGATTACTACTTGCACTAAACTTTCATACTTTTGTGACAACCAGATGTAGGCTTTATTACTTGTAATTTTCAGCACATTTACTAAAAATAACACTTAATGTTTACAAAATATATATATTTACATGTTTGACTTTATTGCTCTGCAGAAGAAATGTGAACATAATTTCATAGATTCATAGATACTCTGTATCAATACTGTCATGCAGAAATTGTAAATAGAAGGATACTTTTTAAGAAATGCACTATTTGTTAATGCATTTTGTACTTAATTTGCTTATACAAAAATCAATAAAAATTATGAATAAAAGTAAAAATTTAAAAAAAAATTAATATAAATTCAATGACACTGAAAAGGAAACTTGCTATTTGATGTAGTTGTTTGTGGATTTAAAAATGAAATGCGGTTACTTTGCTTTATGTTGAAAAGAGAAACATGGATAATTAGTAAGATTATTTTATTCATTTATGATACTTAAATTATGAACAATAAAGTATGTTTTAAGGGACATCTTAAATATTTTTTATAATTTGATAAGGCTTTTCATATATTTCAAACTAATAATAGTTGTGTTATCTTAAAAACTCTAGTACATACTAAACAAATAAAAATTTTATTGTTATGAATTTATCAGTGATGATAAATCTGCACATATATTCAACTAGACACTATGCGGCCAGCCTTCGTCTGGCTTACACCAGAAAAATGCCTAAAGGGAATACCAAACATCACACTTAACTGCACAGAATTTTACTCTGCAGAACAAAATTTTTTTTTTTTAAATTCAATAAAACTATATTATATATATAAAAAATTACAATAAAATAAGCAATATCCCTTAACACTAATATTAATTATCCTAGTAAATAAACTAACTTCCAACTTTCCTTTGCAAAATCTTAAGAATTCAAATGGTGTACAGGAAGTTAAGAACTTTGTTTCCTAAAAAAAATCATGCAAAACTTTTTATATAATTAATAGTAATATAAAAAAATTACAATGAAATATGCAATAAATCTCATTTTTTCAAGAGAAAACAGTCAACAGCCCAGTATTCAAAGCAATGAATGAAAAACTGTTGCCAAAACCGCATTTCTAAAAGAATAAAACTATGATCAGAAAGCAATAATCAATCGTAATCGTGCTTTGTGGACAAACCTCTTTGCCATTAGCTAATAAAGAGAGAGCGATAAAAAAAGGAATGAGGCACAATGGAAAGAATTTCCTTTTTTTATATTATCTCATATTTTCAACAGTCAGCTGTCAGTATACAAAGCACTGAATGAAAAACTTGTCAAAACCACATTTCTAAAAGAATGAAACTATTCAAAAGATGAGATCACTTGGTGTCACATGATATGAACCAGCGAATCAGGATGTTGAAACATAAAAGCATAGTAAATTCTTAAATTAATGTCTTTTTACAAATATATTGTCTTTATTTATTAGCTTTTTACAAAATTTTAAACGATATTAAATGTGTAGCCTTTCAAAATAAAATTCTTGAACTAACATTTGTTAACATTTTTAATGTGTATACTTGTAAAGGATATATTGTCACCAATAAAGTCTGCTTGGTGAAATTTGCGCCGGCGAAATGGAAAAGTACCCAATTTGTTTATAAAAATTCAAATGTGTATTACAACAGTAATAGAAAACATTATTATCTATGAGCACTTTATGATGATAGTCTGAAATTTTATTTACTATATATTTATTAAATATAATAAAATACAATTCACATTGTTGCACATATTTCATTAGATTTCGATCATTACATGTTAAAAATGAACTGTATTTTCTGTTCAACTGTGAAATATTTTAAAATCTTTTTATCTCCATTTTAAAGCAGATTAAAGAATTACTTAAACTATATATAAAAAAATACCCCCTTCCTTAGCAAATGGCTGTTTATTTTGTTTCACCAGGTAATGCAGCAGCTTAAAGTAATAATAATTTTAACAGTTTTACATTATAAAAAGAGTGTAGTTTTACAATATTTAAATACAAAATTTAGAAATCTAAAGAACACTTCATAATAATAGCATGTTGTATGAAGTGATGTAATATGTAGAACAACTATTAATCATTTACATTATATTTTATGTTCCTAAACTAAACATAAAGTACAATATAAATCAGCGGTTCTCAACCTTTTGACTAACGCATACCATCTAAACAAAAATTGAAAACCTTTAGTATTACCACCACTCTTAAACAAAGCTCAGATCGCATAAATTTACGAGTATTAGAGAAAAAACTCAATCAGGATATTGGAGTTTCAATTTTTGAATAGTTAAGAATACTTTGCGTACTACCTATTTTTCTCTTGCGTACCACTGGTTGAAAACCCCTGATGGTTAATCTTTGGATTATGGTAACTTGGCGATTTTTTGGCAACCAACCCTACTACAGCAACCTGCTAGTTTTTGTTTGGATGCCATTTTGTGTCACGACGTAAGGCATTTTTTTTTTTTTTAACTCAACATTTTTTCCCAACAATCGCTAGCCGAATTACGCTAGCTAGACTTTTATGGACGAAGTGCTTATCTGCGGAAGATTAGGTGCGAAATGGGAGAAAGTGCCGAATCGCAAACTGCTTGCCGCGTTTAAGAATTGCACATACAAAACCATGTACACGTCGACCTATTTCACTTAAAAACCCCACGAATTGCACAAAATGGCACTGCCTACACTCTTGACCTTCTCCATGACACGCTAAAGTCCTAGCTAGTAACCTTTATCGCCTTACCAAAATGTCGCCAAACTACCCATTACCATATTCCAAAGATTAGCCTCCCTGATATAAATGATTATTAGAATAAATGGTGGAAATAGCATATAAAATTTAAATTTCTTAAAATAGAATGTCAAATTAAAGTTCTTAAAAGTTTATCTAACATTAGATTACTTTGAAAAATTAAATAAAGGTAGCTTTTTACTTTGAAGGCAGTTGTTAATTACATAAATATGGTTATCAAGCTTGTATAAAGATTCTGATCTCTTTTAAATAAGTATTCTGTAGTAAAACAAAAACAATATGTAATACAGTTTTTAAAATGCTTACGATATACAGAAAAAACGTTATCACAAAATAAAACATGGAAGTTTCAAGCTTAAGATTTTGATATTTTCTTTTAAAATAATTCCTTTATGGCATGCAGATGCTGAATTATGATTATTAGAATTACTACAAAATTGTGTTGAATCATTCAAACTGATTTACTTTTTCAGTGTTAAGTGATTCTTGTAACAATATTTTTGGAGGAAGGGAGTGATACAACATAACTTTGAATCTCCCCCCCCCCCGAAAAAAAGAGTAGTTTGATAAATAAAATAAAATAAGATAATTGACAGAAACATTAAAGAAAATAATACATATCAATACAGCATTAGGTATAATTTTTATGTAATGATAAATTAAAATACAAATTTTGATTTATTTTTCTCGATAATTTTAAATATTTATTAAAAATGACATTTGTGTAAATAATTTCTAGAAATTACATTAATCAATTCTATGTATGAACAAAAACACTGAATAAAAAAATTTCATACAAAAATATAACATCTTTCTCATTATAGGATAACACATAATATAAGGGTTTAATCCTAGTATCCAGTGCACACGGTTACTTTTGGCGACTTTATGATGATCAGTAAAAACGGGACATACACGATGAGTAGTTAACGGGTCATTCAAAGAAAATATACAGTTAAACATAGTATATAGTATGTATATATACTATGTGTGTATAATATATATATACAGTCAAAAGTCGTTTATTCGGACACCCATAATCCAGACCTCAAAGCTAAAAACTTTCTGCGCATGCGTCGCGTACACGCATGCGCATAGGCGTTTACGCGTGCGACCTTTAGTGCTGCAAATATACGTGTACGCATGCACGTTTAATGTATAACGGACGGTATAAGCTAAGCTAAAATTATCTAATTCAGTTAATGTTGCAGATTGCGTTGTTCCTTAATCTTCGAATTGGATTCGGCTTATTAATTTTTGCAGACTGTTAGAGCAATTTTATAAAAGTGAACTTGAACTTTCGATTATGTCAAATAGAATTTCCGATGCTAGGGCTGCCAAAGAATCTGCAAAGCGAAAGCATGTTTCGATGTCCATTAAACAAAAAGTGGAACGAACTGCTACAAAAGGCATGAAGAAAGTGACAGAGAGGTGATTTGTTTCTCTAATCATTCCGAAATATGTTTATCAATTTCACACTGCGCTGCAGGGGGAAGGAAACAACGCGGTGCGCAATGAATTGGAAGTTGATCTGTCAGCACTATCCTTATCTTCAGGGCAGATGTTTTTATTTTATTTGGTTATAATCCGTACTAAGTGTTTTTATCTCGTCTTTGATATGATTTTAAATCAAGTCCTCGTCATTATAATCGCTTCGATAGTGAAGAAAGTGACCCAGAGGTTATTGAAAACGAAAACATTTCGATTGACAAATTAGTCGGTATTCTCAACACAGCATTATAGGACTTGGACAGCGGAACTTTGTAACTAAACAAGAATTATTTCTGTTTAATAGAATTAAATAGAAATATTTTCACATGAAACGAAGCAACTTAAACACTTACATGAAAGAAATGTTTAATAAAAACAAATAATATTTAGCTTTTCTTTTGTAAATTTGATACCCTTTAGATCATAATTGCTCTTTATTTCATAATTACGGTTTCATATTTTTAATTTTATAATTTCTGCATGCCATCTTACCAGATTTAAACTGATGATCCATAATCCGGAATCACCGAAGTCCTAACGAGTCCGGATTAACGACTTTTGACTGTATAGACGTTCTTTGGATCATTTTTGGTGTTGGCAATAATTTTCAAAGTCGAGCCAAGGCTGCACCGTATACTAGGATTTTACCCACATAAGAAACAATTTTCCACAGAAAGATGCAAGTGACTGTAGGCAGGCAGTCCTTAAATTAATTGAGTTATTCTTATCACTTAAAGCAAGTGTTTTCAAAATAATAATGTTAATAAAAAGTTTTTAAAAGTGTTATTCTATTTCACTATCCGTTAACTGGAAATAACTAGCCAAACAGATATGTATTTATTATGGTTATAAATATTTTACTGCAATTAAAATAAGCTAACAGAAGTATGTTTCCTTGCTAGAGTGCCAATCAGTGCATATATCCCTCTAAGAAAATTATTTGGTACATGTTTTTCTTTAAAACAGAAAAGATCTAAAAAATATAAAATATTTAATACATCATAAAAGTATAATTTTAAATTAAAAATTAATATAAATACTTACTTCTTTAAGCACTCTCTAAATATATATAACTGAAACAATCATATTCTGGAAAGAATATTTGAGATCAATTTTTCCACACAAGTTTAAAAATTCACTATACTTTGAAAATTGTTTTCTGCTTCTAAATTTGCTTCAATTATGTTATTAGTGAGACTCAGTTTTACTTCTTGTCATAAATAAATATTACTTCAACATTAATACTAAATTCTAAACTGTACATGATTTTTCTAAAATTAAAAAAAAAGGTTTCATAAATATATTAAAATTACAAGATAAATAATAAATTTAAAAGATAAAAATAATTGTGTAAAAATATATTTTACCAACATGATTTGTTGAAATCAAAGGGATCCTAATCAACTCCGTAACTAAACTATTAAGCGTACTCTTCTGTTATCAGAACCAGATTCAGAATATATGCACATGTGTACGTGTATATAAAAACACATACATGCATACATTACTGAATCAGGTCTCCCCCCCCCAATAACAGATTACCCTATTAAGTATAAGAAAACTTAATGTTATGATTACATAGTGCCTTATTTACACGATTGTTCATAAAAATTCAAATTTAAGAATCTAAAATAAACTTAGTATGGAATTTATCAAGTGCTAATGATATAGAATCAAAATAATGCAAAAATCGTCGACTTCTTTTGCAGTTGCTCATCTGCTTAGAATATTCACTTTGACACATAATTTTTAAAGTACTTAGATAGTCCATATTCAGATTTGTTTTAGTCAAGAAATGCAAAGATGGCAGAGCAGTAGAAATGCATTGTAATTGTTGTTCCGTTTTGTTATTAAAAATATAATCACATTTTAGTGGCTGATCTAGGAATAATTGAACTGATTTCCCAGTTGGTGCATGGTATGTTTCAGGATAGTTTGAACACATCTCTCGGATTTTATAAATATTCATCAGAGCTATTATGTCAGCTAATACGTCACCATAACTATGGAAATTACTTTCACTACATATTGGTAAACCATCTGTCCACTTTTTTACTCGTTCAGGTATTGAAAGCCAGTGAAAATTTGTATAAAACTGCCCTTTCAAAGAATCTGCAAAACTAAAATCCTCCAGTAAGGATGAAAATGCAAATAAATCTTTAGAGCAACTTCCCTTTAAAAGCGCTCTTTTTTTTAATTCAAATAATTTGCAAGCTTCATCCCACATATTGGATTCCGAAGCAGAATTCACTATTTCTATATCAGAATTTCGTATATTTTGCCATAACAGTTCTGTTTTTAAATTGTCTAACACATTCATCACTGAAAATATATTGCTATGTAATACATCATAACCCATTTTTAGATATTCGGAAATAATATCCATTGAATGGGCAGGTGTGTTATTCAACAAGAGTTGTTTTAAATCCCATGCTAAAAAATTTAGGGAGCCCAAAAAAAAGCTATTGGCATGAACTCTTTTATATAAGGGCACTTCTGAAGTATTCAACATACAGGAACAGCTTCCTTTATAAGAACAACTAACTTCTTTTTCTTGTGTCCAAAACTGAGCATCCAATAAACTGCGTCTCAGGTCATTTGCATTATGAGATGTTAGCAACTTCAAATCAATTGCTGCATTTCCTCTATTGTGTTTAACACATTGATATTTCACTTTTTCAACAGCAATATCCTGTGATGCTGGTTTCAAAGTTAAAACTTGTATATCTTCACCCAAATTAGCTTTCACAAAAGCTAAATTTCGACTAACAGTAAATATGACAGGCTTTCTTGATATCTTCAGAAATCCTTTAATTGTATTCCAGAGTCCTTCATCTTCTTCAAATACTACATCAATATCATCAAATAAGATTATGGTTAGCGAGGATATTTTACATGAACTCATCTCTTGCTTTATTTCTTTTTTAGTATGGTCCAATTCAGAATTTTTATCATGAGAAAACTCTTTGACAATTTTTCTTTTCTTCGAGGAGCCTTTATGTGTCGCACTTTCATCTTTATCTACATTTTGTTGCATAACTTTGAAATTACTTGAATTGCATTTCTCATCCTTATTAACACACTTGAAAAAGGTTTTAATATTTCTTCCTGGCTCTTTTTGAGGTGAAGTTTTCTGTCCTTTATCTGATAAGTATACTTTTTTAGATTTGATTAGCTTTCTACCGCTTAGATAAACTTTTCCTTTTGAATTTTGTTCTTCATTAAACACATCATTGGAAGAGTTTAATATACCTTTACAACTTCCTTTCTGAATGCTACAACTCGAAGATATTAAAATATCATCAGTTAATGCTGTTTCAGAATTAGCATTTTCAATTCTAATATTTTCAACATGATATGATTCAAGAGCTTCCTTCAACTGATTAGAAATACTTCGTCCATTTCGACAAGTTGAAGAATTTACTTCTAAAACTTTAAATCCAAGTTCATTAGCTAAAGACAGAACTATGCTCGTTTTACCAGTTCCAGGCATTCCTGCTATAATTATACTGTTAGAAACACCATCAGTTGAATCAGAACTATTAGAAGAAAAACTGTCTATACTAGATTCATCTACACAAGGTTTTTTAAATTTAGATTTCCACTGCAAAAGCCAAGTTCTTATTTCATCTAAAGTAAATTTATTAAAATCTTCTTTCAAATCATTTAAATAATCAGTCCAAAGCATTTCATCCTGTGTTCTTCCATATACCTTTTTTTCACAAACATTATCATTTAATCTCTCATGTATTAGAGATGTTGAACATATCTCTTCATTTTCTCGTTTGATTTCATTATTAATGCTTTTGACATCAGTCAAGCCTACTATATGGCTCCAGTATGGTTTTTTAATATCCTCATATAAAATTTCATTTGAAGTACTACAGAAAATACCAGAATTGAACTCTTTGTATGAAAAATTACAGTGAGTGAAAGATGGAAAAGGTGCGAAATTTTCTTCCTCTGTTGACAGCACCTTTTTTACTTTACATTTGTCACTAGAAGCCTTTTCTACATTAATTTTTTTAATCACATTTTGAAAATTTTCAGTTTGCTGGCTTTCAATTTTATCATCTCTACACACATTTTCAATAATTATTTCTTCATCTGTTGAATCATTATTATGAATAACTACAGCACTTTGCTTATTTATATCACTATTTGCAGAATAGTTCCTATTTGTGCTTTTCTGAGACATACATTCCTCATCTCCTGAATTATCTATATTAATTAGTTGCATTTTTCTTGTAGTTCTTTTTGATGTTAAAATATTATATTCAGATATATTTGCATTATCTTCACATTTAGCTGTTTTTCTATTTCTTTTGCTTTCCACAGCTTTAGGTACAATACCTAAAATTTCACTTGAAATAGTAATTTTTGATATTTTAATTTCTTGCTTTTCCTTAAATTTTACATTTTCACTTGAAGAGTCTCTGAGTTGGTCTGAAAATTTTATACTCAGCTTTGGTGTTGACGCTAATTTTTCTATTCCACAATCAGAGTTAGATAGTTCTTCCATTAACAAATTATCTTCATGCTTCACATGTTTATTTGGAGAAGCTTTTGCAAAAAGTGGAAATAACTTCACTGGTTTACTTGAATCTGTATTGGCACTGATCATATTTTCAGGTAAAGCTGTAACAGAATCATAAGCATTCATAAAATCATTATCAGAAATTTTGCATTTTGTTTCAAGCTCCGATGCATCAATTACATCACCAGAAAGTTCATCATCAGTAATAGTTTGCTTCTCTCCATCTAAAATTCTGTCAAAAATTTCATTGTTAGTCTTCTGACGTTTCCCTTTCCTACATTTCCGCCTTTTTTTTCTTTTAACTGCCACAGCAATATTACCTGAATTATTTTTCTGAAATATATTACCATATTTATAAAATTGCTCTACTTTACTTGTGCTATTTTGAGATGTAATTTCAAAAAATTTTCCATTTACTGAATCATTTGATGAGTTATCTACATTAAGTAAATGCTTCTTTTTAGCAGTTCTTTTAGTTTTTAAAATATTGTTTGCTGATATACCAGCTGGATCTTTACATGCATTTATTTTTTGAAGCCTTTTATTCTGCATTACTTCTTGAACTTTACTCAAAATATCAGCTGAAACAGTCTCTTGAATTTTCTGTACCTGTACTTTTTTACATGAAACAGTTTCTTGGACATGTAATTCATTGTTATTTTTTGTTGGCATGTTTTCTGTTTTGAGATTTTTATTATAGTCTATTGATATTCCCTGTTCTGAGAAGGTTTCTTTTAACATACCTGGCTGTTTCATCTCCAACTTCTTTTGCTTCTCCTCAGTTTTTGTTTTTTCCAAAATTATAATATTCTCTGAACTACGTTCTCTCTGTGGCAAATTACTATTTTGATTCACCTCTCTTCCTCGACAAGACTTTGAAAAAAGTGAAAATAACAAAGGTTTATTTCTAGAAGCATTATTTAAATTTACATCATTCTCAGAAAACTGCATACCACTTTTTTTACTTCGAAATGAATTATCATATATACAGTCTGTCTGAAAACTTACGCCATCTTTTATTTTGATGCCTGTTGCATCAATAACTATTTTACTAGAAAATTTACTTCCGTTTTCAGATAATTCCATATTTCCACCATGAAAATTTTCAGTGGAATCTTTTTTTTCTCTACAATTTCCATCATATTTTCTAGCTGTTAGAGAAATTTCTACTATTTCATCTTTAACTTCATGTGCACTGCTTTGGGTGGCATGTAAGATTTCCATGTTCTTTTCAGAAATATCTACAGCAATTTCTTCTTCAACCAGAGAATCATCTACTTGTTTATGTTTACTGATAATCTTCTTTTTTTGACGAATTCTTTTAGTTGATGTATTCTTAAATGCTTTCTTTTTCTTTTTCATGGGGATACTATGTGAAGTTTTAATCGATGAAACATTTTTTAACATATTCAAATCTAATTTTCGTTTATTAATTTCAGAGGAGATTTTACCAGACATGTTACAGTTTGGAAAATTTTTATTGATTTTATTCATGAGCATATTCCCTTGTATAAAATTTATATTTGAACTATCTGATGAGATAACCTCTTTTAAAAGCTTTTCATCTTTTTTGCCTGATAACATAACATCCAAATTATTTTGCATATTTTTTATCAATGATTTTCCTACAGCACATTCATTTGAAGTATTTTCTTCCACATTTGTTTCCTTGTCTTCCTTCACTTTGTTGTCTGAAGAGGAATGTGAAAATATTGAAAACAATTTTTGTGCTTTACTTGAACCAATATTGTTTGATATTACTGAAGTTGCTGCATCTGCATTGTTATCAACGATTTTAAAATTATTAGTTTTACACTCTGTTTCATACTCAACAGAATTTTCAATCTTTAAAGTAGATTTATTAATAGTTTCATCATAAAAATCAACTTGATTAGCAGATGATTTTATATTATCCATATCGTCAGAAATTTCAGAATTATTCTTTAACCATTTATTTCTTCTCCTGTATTTTCGACTTCTTCTTTGTTTAGTTAAAGGCAGTGCTTTCGGTGTGTTATTTTCTTCAAATACATTATCTTCAGTAGATTGTTGGATCTGTTTAGCATTCTTTTCAGGTGTGCTTTTAATTCTTATTTCTTCAAATTCGGAACAAACAACTGATTTGTTCTTATTTATTTGTCGCTGCTTTTTAGAAATTTTTTTAACTGATGAAATAGTTTTTCTAGATATAAACTTCGCATTTTTAGATCCTATTCTACTTTTAGGTTTCTGTGCTTTTTTCGAAATGACAGATGGACTTTCTGATATTTTTACTTTGCATTTTCTTCTTTTATTGGTTAATGATTCTTGTGAACTATTTTTCATTGTAATTCTACTAGCTTCTTCTTCTATTGGACAATCTTTTTGTTTCAAATCTTGTGTTGGAGAGATCTTTGAAAAAAGGGGGAAAAGTTTAAAAGATGTTTTGACAGCTGATGTATTTGTATCCTTTGGAGATATGATTTTTGAGAATTTAACATCACTAACGGAATTATTCACATGTTCAGACACAACATTACTGCTTGTTGCATTCTTTGAATCATTAAATGTTTCACGAGATAAAAGAATTTTCTTAGTAGATTGCTTTTCAATAGTCATATGGCACTTAGAAATTTGATTATCTGTTACTTGTTTAACTGTTTTAATACATTTTTTACCTCTTTTTCTTCGATGTGATGAAAAACAGTCACTTACTAAGTCTGCTTTCTGAATTTCTTGAATATTATTCATAGTAGTACTGATAGAATGTGATTCACCGGAACAAAATGATGGTATTTTGTTTTGATTGCCTGAAATATCCTGGCTATTACTCTCTGGAAGAAAATTATTATGTATAGGTAAATCATGTCCTTGTGTCTGATTACTAATGGAAGAAGAATTTGATAGTGTAAATATAGGAAAAATTTTACCTGTTTTATTTCTATCAGACAAAGACATACCAGGTTTAGGTGAAATACTTTTCAAAGTATTTCTGTCCACTTGATTTTTTTCGACATTGTTTTTCGAAGGAACATCATTTTCCAAAGTTATCAAACTAGGATTTATTTCTGACACACGATCAGCAGGTAAAATCTGCTCAATTTTTCTTAAAGAAAAATCTGCAATCGTGTTCTCCTCTGTCATTTTCCGTCTTCGTTTCTTTTTCTTTCTTGTGAAAATCAGATATTCTTTTTATGACTTGCACTATCATCACTAAATTATTCCACAAAATTTGCTCCTCCGTGGCATTCTTCATGTAGGTATTCGAATATCGGAAATAATTTAATAATTTCTGCCAAATGTGGTTTATGAGAATGAAAAATATTCCTGAAAGGTATAATTTTTTAAAAAGAAAGCAATTTTTTAAGTTGTAGGAATGATCTTGAATATTCAGCAAATAAGCGCTAAGTTTCTGCGGTGAAACATCACAAATTATCAGTGGAATTTTTGAAGATTTTACGATCTCAAATTATGTCTCACACCAACTAATTAGACATTCACCTATATAAGCTAAAATGCCTTACATGCAATAAAGATATTAAAATTCGTAAATACTAATCACGAAATAACACAAATCACAGGTTCATATTTATTAATCCATACGTTTGGCGCGAAATGTAAATAAACCGATAAGTTTTGATGTTTTAATCCTTCATCTACGAAAATATTTTCATTTTAAATAAATATAAATTATGCCGCATTTTTATCGTGTCTCCTGAATTACCTTAAAAGAGGCAATATTATTTTACTCATTTTATGACTATGGGCTTTTTTTTTTACTTTTAGAAATGAAATTAACATCTAAAAAAGGGCATGTTACTTTGAAATAACTAATATTTTTAATCTGCTGTTATTAATTTTTCCAATTTATATCTTGAATCAGTAGATTTGTGTATTGAACTTGATACAAGAATTTAAACTATATATCAAAATCCTATGAAAAATAAAAACTTTATTTTACGCTACTTAATGTTGACGTTTATTTCATTATTTTATTTGGCATCTCTATTGTTATTTTGTCTAAAGAGGTTATTTACCCTGTGTTATTTACAAAACACCTAGTATACAAAGAATCTCTAAGGAAGTGATTCTTTAATGATAGAATAAATAACCAAGGAATCTCTCATTCTTAACTTTGTCAGTATTTACTTTTAGACGTGGTATGGTTTGCGAAAGGTCTCGCGTGTGGAATTTTCTTTAATCATAGCGTACAGTATACGGTACATATACTGAATTTTTTTTTAACAATGAATAGATAGAAATATTTTAGTTTAATTAAGGAAGTTGTCGGAGAAAGATGCTTTTTCGCAGTGCTTCACTTTGGGATGAGAGGAAGAAAATACGATGGGGGTTAATGATAATTAATAACACTGCTGTTATCGTTTGTGTTCGTGTTTAATACGTATAGTCTGTAAGCACGCAGAACAATGGGGTTTCCAGCTCTTAAAGTATTTTGGTTTCGTGGACAGCAAAAATACCTAAAAATCACGTTTACAAAATATCACGTTTACGATGAGCCGCGAGCTTGGCAAGTAAACAAACAACAACATATATTATCTTGTTAAAATTTTACGAAATAAAAAATTGATTTATTCTCATAATTTTAGATGGCAATAACCAATAATAAAAATAAAAGCATTGCTTAATTATTTAAAATGCTCATGCACATTCCGTGTTACAAATTTAGCATTCACCCCTCCCGCCATATTTTCTTTCATCCCGAACCGAGAACCGGCATCCACCGAACCGAAAATGTTATTTGAGTTGACAGAATAGTTTTTTATGGATCCCCAGGATCATCAAAATTAGCAAACCATTACTTTGTGTAACATATGCAAGTTCAAATGACTTTTAAAAAATAAAATGTATATTATAGTTTTATTAACAATGCTTCTCTATAGAATTTGAGTTTTATTGAAGATGCTTCGTATTGTCAAATATATTATGAAAAAGAGGGGCACTTGTTTCATTTAAAATGCTTTAAGCTGTATGCAAGTAAATTTAAAAAAAAATAATAATAACATTGAAAAATTTTTTGTGTGAAGAAAATTTATTATATGTGTTATCAAGTCATGCATTTATTAATTTATTACTGGGGCATGGCTCTTATCGAAATAAAATGTATGTATGAAATACATTTAACTAAATCCCCTCAATGTCCAAAAGCTCTTACTGACATAAAGTTTGGCCACCCCTGATCTAATATATACATTTATTGTATTTATATCTATTATATACATAATAACATTAATTATCAGATACAATTTTGAGAATATTGACAAGCAAAGGGCTTTAAAATGAAAAAAAGAAACTTGTAATAGAAATATTAGTATTCTGTACAAATTAGAGAGATATGTCGTGAATAATACCATGACCAAATACGTAAAAAAAATAAATATTTCCCACCTCGACACTTTAGAAAGCAATCCTGCCATGCAATACATAATTAAATGCTGATTGCATGATATTACAAGCATTTTCTTTAGATTTGTCGTATGAGTGGTTAAGACGGCTGGTAATTCAATTGGCTCAAATCCTGATGAAGGGGCTGGCTGCGTGGTTATTATTTTTTTTCCATATGTTTCACGAATATGAGCCAGTTTCCCCTATAAAGGATTTCATAAAGATGTCCTTTCTCAGGGTGATAGCCAATGTGCTTAGCTATATTCAAATAACCTAACCTAAAACTTTCCTTCAGATTCTGTAGTTACATGTTATATCTTGTATCTATTAAGATTGTTCAAAGCAGAGTAATGATCATTCAGCTTCTACCAATAATGGCAGAAGCATATTTGAAACTTGCCAAAACAATGGGATTCATAACAAAATTGACCATGTTTTCACCCTGCAAACCTTTATAAATGTTCTTAATTTTCTTAAGGATCTTCATAATATTCTTAAGGATTCTTGTTAACCTTATTTAGAAATGCATTTATTGTTGCTTTAATATTTACGAAAGGTATTTCTCTCTTTACTTAGGCTCACTCAAGTCGATAAGACCAATGAATATGCTGGTTGGTGTGGTCGCACATGCTGTGGCGCTGGCCTTGAGCCACAGTAAGCTGTGAAATTTTTAACAAAGGTCTTGTATTTTATCTTATGAAAAAAAGTGTCAGTGTCTAACTAAATGTTTCACTTCTTAGAAAAACAGAAAATATGAATAATTTGAATAAACAAAAAAATATCTTTAAAACTAACAAAAAGAAAAAAAAATTAAATTCACAAATTTGTAAGCCCTACAAAGTATTGCAGAAATTATATGCAGCACAAGCTACTGCACATTACCTTTTTCTTGTGTATCAATTGATTGTGGTGGAAAGGTTTTCATTTAAGGATATTGTTGCTAAAATTGTAATACCTCTTCTTGTCAGAGAAATATTGTTCAGCGAGTTAAAAGGTCATTCGCACCAATATTCGAATAGACTTTCATAAGGAAAACTTTTAGATCCCTTTCTTGAATATTTATTTCGCCATGAAATCAAGCATAATGGCCAAGATCCATTTAGTGGAATTTTAAAACCCACTAAAAACTGTTTCCCTGTGTGCTAAAAGATCTCTGCCAATTTTCTTAACAGCATAGTTTTTTTGAAAAAAAGAAAGCTCTTTCTGGGGTTATTGCTTATCAAAATATATAACTATATAATGTAAGTATAATAATACTAATATATACTTTTTTATGTGAATTTTTACTTCTATCATTATTAATATATTGTTTTCTCTGCTAACTTGAATTTATGTCATTTATCATTAATTTTTATTACATGCACTAAATATCACGTTTAACCGGCTTACTTCCATGTGCATAATCACACCGCTCATCATCGATCAGAGAAATGCTACATAAAATAGTAGAGGGTGTGTTCAATATTAATTTTATATCCCGCTATAGGTGAACGATAAAAAGGTAGTGATGACAGATACAAATTAAATGCCTTCATTTCAACTAGACAGATGGAACAATATCAGAGTTAACAGTAATTGGGCGGATACAGCTGCACTTAGAAAGCTCTTCATTGAGGCATTCCTTTAGATAGATAATAGCTTTACAATAATCATAATAATTCAGTAATTGAAAGATGGGATTTTTGTCTTTAAAATGTCCTTATGCTGATTCAGATTGACATTTAAAAAAAGAATATAAGAAAATTCATTATTTATATCTTGGTCTTAACTTAAAAATGCATATAGGGATTGTGCAACACCAGCATCTTTTTCAATTTGTCACTTTTTATCATGAAAAAGTCTGTAGCTTAGACCTCACAGATGTTCTTACAGGTTTGATATTTGAATTATGATTCACTGTTTTTATAATTGGGTAACTGACAGTCCCATGTGTCTGTTCTTGAATGTCAAAATTCCAAATCCACTCCAAGGTCAAAAGAAAATGTATCGATGTAGCTTTATCTTGGCCTGTGGTTTCTGGATAATTTTATCACTGTTCTTCTAGAGTACTTTCATATCAAGTTGATGTATGGAAAGTTGTACAGGCTTTCTTTATCCGTTATCCTCTAAAGAAAAAAAATGCAGTCAGTGAACCAGAGAAAAATGCTGATTTTTATTTTCTAAAGATGTTAATTTGATTTTAATTTTCGATTATATTTAAAAACTCTGATTATATTTTGTAACAGACATCAATAAAAATTATATCCTGTATTGTCTCCTAAGACACATATTCTTCCAGTCATGCCCAGACAATCACTCTCCTACAATACATCTTATCTTTTTTATCACTGTTTAAAATCAAAAATAAAATAAATAAAAATACTGGAAACTGAGATCTTCAGATTACAGTATAGCGACTAAAGAGTTTACCATTAAAAATTTCAAGATATTAGAAAAATATTAAAAACTTTAAAATTGTAAAACAAATGTAAAAAGTAAGACGTAAATGATCTTATACCAATTAGCTTGTACTAATGAGTTAAAAATATAACATTAGAAATGTCTTTTGTTAGTCATAACAAAGCGCAAATGTTCATATGAACTAAAAAATTACTAAGCTCTGCATTGGAGTAACTCGGTGTATTATGTAGGTCAGTCAGAAAGTTTGTTGCACTAAATATGTTCTGTCAAAGACTATTTGGATGACACTGTGTGGCAACACTTCAGACATGTACCTTCATCGCATGACGTATACCTTCATCCCCAAGGCAAGTTTAGTTTTTCTGATAATCAGTCGCAAACATGTCTCGATAGCTGCAAATAGCATCCAAATTGGAAATGTGTGCAGTGATTCGTTTTTTGTGGGAAAAAAGGTGCAACTGCACTGAAATTTATGGGCAGTTGCATGAAGTGTATGGTAAAAATGCAATGTCACATCAAGCTATCGCAAAATGGTGCAACATGTTTGAGAATAGATGTACAGATATTGACGACGCTGAGCGTGAGAGGAAGACCATCAACTGCAACAAATTCAGAAATTGCTGTGCGTGAATGAATGCATTCTGCAAACAGATGCATAATGACAGACAAAATCTCAAATGAACTGGATATTTTCTTATGGAAGTGTGCATAAAATTATTGCCGATTACTTTAAAGTTTGTAAAGTTTGTGCTCAATGGGTGCCACGTCTATTGACGGAGGAACATGAAGGAAAGCATTTTGAAAGTGCATTTGCATTTCTGCAACATTACCAAACAGAAGGAAATGAGTTTTGGGACAAAATTGTGACTGGAGATGAAACTTGGATTCACCACTTCTCGCCTGAAACGAAATGCAACTCGCTCGAGTGGAAACGTTGCAGTTCCATGACGCGAACAAAGTGTCGAACTGTTCCATCTGCAGGAAAGGTGATGATGATTCTGTTTTTCGACAGAGAAGGCTGGTGCATACATAGTTCATGCCGAAGGATGCCACAATTAATGCATCTTCTTATTATGAAACACTAAAACGATTGCGACAATCACTTAAAAATCGACAACCAGGTAAACTGTCGAAAAGCATTGTGCTCCTGCATGACAATGCAAGATCGCATGCAGGAAAACAAACGTGTGACCTCCTGAAAAAGTTTAGGTGGGAAGTGTGGAATCACCCTCCTTATAGCCCAGACCTTTCACCTCCTGACATTCTATGTGTTTGGTCCCACAAAACAAGAACTTTCAAAGCGACAGTACCATTTGCATGTCAAAGTGAAAGCTGCAGGCCCAACAATGGTTATCAGACATTGAACAGGATTTCTTTGCAGAAGGCATCGAAAAACTTTACCACGCCTCAACAAATGCTTAATTAACGGAGGTAATTACATTGAAAAGTGGATTTTGAAGGGAACTTTAAGATATAAATAAAGTTATTGTAAAATTTTACTCCTGTTTTGTTTTCTTAGGCAGTGCAACTAACTTTTTGACTGACCCTCATATCTAAAAAAATTCCTTTACTCTTAAAAGTCTCCACGAAGATATCTCATCCTTTGGAGAGAAATCCTTGTTCCTTCTACCATAGTTAACTTAATTTATCAGTACTTCCGTATTGGTTAGGTTAGGTGATTTGAATATGGCAAAGCACACAAGAGCTATCTGACTAAGGGGTGAGATATATTTGTGGAGGACTTTCTAAAGAGACGGGCTCGTATTCACGTTATACATGGGAAAAAACCACAAAACTGACCATGAATCCAGCTTGGGTTCAAACAATGTCAAACTACCAGTATTCAGCCATCTTAAACATTCGGCTACTGGGGGGACACTTTCATGTTATATTTTCTAATGGCTGTTAGATTGTATTTATAATTTTATTTATAACTGTTTATAGTTCTACCTTTTTTTAAATTTGTGGCCTTGAAAACGGCCCTAGTATTTTTAATTCCTTTTTTTAACTGAGGTATTCAATCCCGCTAAGATTATCGTTTGAAGAATCCAAGCTATCCAATTCATCAATATTAAATAGCATGCACTCAACGGTGTTTTCCACCAGGCAATCTAATTTCCACATTTTCTTTTCATGTTCTATTACATGCCTCAAGCATTTAATCCATTGCATAGGAGTCAACAAATCGATTTACAGACTTTGTCCTTTTTAAAAGTTCTGTATTCGGATGCTACATACCCTTTCACACTACTCCATACGAGTTCAGTTGGATTCAGTTCGCAATGATATGGTGGCAAACACAAAACAGTATGTCCGGCTTCAGCATCTGTACTATGGAATTCAAATTGTTTTCGAAACTTAGAAACGAGAACTAAAAGTTCTGCTTTTAGCATATCAGGTTCTTAAGGAATATTTTTTTCTGTCAACTAGAGCTGAATGTCTGCTTTCCTTGTACTTGAAGAAGGAATGTTTTCAGATAAAATGCTGTGATAAGACGCATTATCCAACACAATTACACAGTTCGGTTGCAAGTTAGGCAGTAATTTTTTTTCAAACCAGTTTTCATAAAATTTTGAATTCATTTCTTTGTGGTAATCTCTTTTCTTTTTCTTAACTTTTAATATATCACATGCTTCAGGAATAAATCCATTTTCATTACCAGCGTGAACAACTATACACCATGAGCCTATTCCTGAGGGAGCAATTTAACAAGTTGAAAGACCGCTCAAAAAGTCTCTCTTAACACTTTTTATAGCTATATCCTCCCAAAGTTTGGTTTTAGAATGCTCTAAATTTCATAGTTTCATCGGTGTAATAAGTTGTCCTTCCTTGTGAACGATATTTTTTATATCTCTTAGATATCTATGCCTCCAGCCTATGAATATCGTGACATTCAATCCAAATTGACTGGCGTTTTCGTTTTCTGTACGCAAATCCTAAATCATTCATAATTCGTCCTACTGTGCGAATGGACATAGTTGGCAAACAGCTTCATCATTTATAACTTTAGCCATTTTTTGCACAGTGGAAATTTCATTCCGTAAAAAGAAACCATGAACTTTCCTTCGTGTTGTTGCTAAAGTTAACTCATCATATCGTTTGATTTGGGTTTGCGTACCGATTTCCAGAGGTCTTTTCTTACCTGGAGTAAAAAATCCTCCATTTTTTTCAATTCAGGTCAATCAATTTATGCTTGTTACAGAAACGGCAATCAAATCAGCAGCAAAAGTAACAATATTGTTATCAGATTTATTAGGAAAATGTCCCCGTAATTTGACAAAACATTCATAATGATAATCTTAGCTTATGAGGCTGAAAATTAAACACATATGTCGAAGATGATGCAGACGCCATGACAATTGCTTTTTTTTCTTCTCCCGATCAGTGAATGAATGAATGCTTTAATTGCTTTTCTCATTGACAGCAAGGTGAAGTTGCGGTTTCTGGAATTTGCAATTTCACCAATAATGCAAAAAAAAAAAAAGGGGGATGCCTTCCTGCTGGTCATCGAATGAGTGACATGATATAGCAAATTTTTAATTAAAAAGCTAGACACAAAGTAATCTATCGTTTTATACAATTTTTCCCTTACATTCTCCTTGTTCAGCAGTATTCATATTTCACAGTGTAATTTTTACAACATTACTTCTCAAAACGGTAGAACTATATTCTTCGGTGGACGCATACACTTTCTAGTATATCCAGTGTTCTCAACTTACGTTGACCTGTAGTATAACGCATTAAAATGTAGGACACTGATCCCATAGATAACAATGTACTTTTGATCCAAAGATTTAACTGCTCATTATCAAGCAACAGTTTTCAGAATTCTGGCTAAGAATTAACTGTTTCTTTGAGTGATGAACTATCTCTCTTGTGCGGGCTGGCTGCATGGGCGTTTTCGTGGTTTTCCCCATGTGTA